AATTAGAGATAGTATATAAAATGTTAATGGCTTATCCATTGAGTCATAACGTTATGTACCAACATTTTGGCACACATTTTTTCTTATTTCATTTCATATCTGTAACGTACAATTACACAACAGTTATTAAACCACAAAATTTAATAATAACATTAAAAAACCCATGTATTTTATTTTTTATTTTTTTCAATTTCATATATGTAACGTACAATTCACAACAGTTATTAAAGCACTACACTTAATTCACTTTAAAAAACTCTGTCTAAACTCTAAAATCAACCACTATATATAAACACAAGCCCTCAAAGCAAACCAAAACACATAAAAAAGAACTCAAACACACAACAAAAGAAAACCAAATCACAAAAACAAAAAAAATGGCATTCACCTCCCAACAAATAATCGCCATTGCCCTCATCTTCACCCTCTCGATTTCCCCTTCATTCGCCCACAAAAGCGAACACAAACACAAGCACAAACACAAACACCACAAAGAAAGACGCGACCGAAATGAAATCGAGAGGGAGCTTAGGGACCTCAGTTCTCAAACCTCCAACCCAGACGCCAGCTGGCGCATAATCAAACCCGAGCTCGACAATTTCAACGACACGGACCCTACAATCGTGACAGCTGTACTTCTCGAGCTTGCAATAACGAGGGGCGATCAGATACACGACCAACTCAATAACTACCACGAGGACTCGAGGAACGACGAGCTTAAGAGCAAGTACTTGTCGTGCTCCAAGAATTACAACGACGCGGTTCGAAACCTAAACTTGGCGAAATATAATTTGGAATCGGAAAATTATGAAGATATCCCTATACAGATTGAGGACACTCAACAGGAGTTGGAAGGGTGCAGGGGAGATTTCTGTGAGGGCTCGTTCGACCCGGGCCACATTGGAGATAGGATTAACGAGTTCGAGGTCTATGTGGATATTGTTAAGGTGTCCGTGGATCGTTTGCTCGATTTTGACTCGAACTCGATCGAGGAAAATAATCAGTAAAAGGGTAGTGTCCATTTTTCATCATATCTTAGCTCGAGAACAACAATAAAAGAAGGAAACAGGACTAGGAATATATATCGGTTAACGATGATTTGTACTCTTTTTCGTCTTTCGTTTTATTCCTTCTTGAGTTTCCATTGCATTCAATCAATACGATGATCGTAATTTGCAGATTTTAAGTGATATTTTTGCGTTCTAATTTTTCGATGAATGAAAAGTTATGTGAACGAATGTACATTTGTCAAAGCAATCTAATGTCCATTTCTTATATAAGAAGCACTCCTTTTAACCAACCATAGAATCTACCAAGTGAATCCAAGATAACCAAAATAAAGTAAAAGAGAATCAAGAAAAAAAGAAGAAGTGACTCTCTTTCGAAACTCCTTTGTCTCCATTTTCGTATATATACATTCATCGTCTTCATACCATTATAACGGAATTTTAAGCTGTACAAACTGCTGTAGAAGGTACTATGCATAGTCCCTATAGAACACAAACAATCATGTGAACAAAAAATATCACGTTGTTTTGAAGAAACTTCGAGATATTACTCATAGGTTGAGCTGCTAAAGTCACCTAACAGAACACAAAATTCTTGTACGAGACGAGCCAACGGTTAGATGAGTCGATCGTTGAATAATTCCTTTACAAGAATGCATATTATTTACATGAAATGTCATGCTTTTATTTATGTTGTTTTTCTAGACTAAAGACATTTTAGTTTCAAAATATGCATATTTGTTGAATAAGAATGGATGCTCAATATTTCTTATCTAAGTACATTAACCATAACAAATGATCACCTTGGAAACTTCATCAAACATGGAAATAATGACACCAAATGAACTAATGCCATAACAACCATCATATTTGTTCAAGTCTGAAACAATAAAACTAAGCAAATACTATCTCATATTTTTAATAAATGTCGTTTTGAGAAGTTACACATTAATTAAGAATATTTTTTTGGTCAATAATAACCTTATTTAATGAAGATAGAGATGAATGTTTTTAGAAAAAAAGTGAAGAGTGAATATGAAAAGACGTAATGTATTTATTAGCTAAATGAGAGTAATAATGAAAAATATGTACAGAAGATCCAAAACGATATTTATTTAGTTAATAGTTAACAAAGCTAGAATGACATTTAAAAAAAAGGAGGGAGCAACTTTTAATTTTGAAAATATGCATGCCCATTTGTTAGAAAATTATGATTGTTTAAAAGCCTATCACAACATTAATACAACATTTAATTTTATTTGAGCAAATTCACATATGAAACGCACAGTTCATAAAAGTTTCATTAAAGCAACACACTTAATAACTCCACAAAACTAAAAAAAA